AGTGTATTGGACTGAAGAGAAGCTCCTGTTTTACTCTGTTTCCAATACTGAGTTGAACTAGATATGACCCGTTTGTGTAGGACGCACAGTTCTTTTGTTCTGAGCTAGCTCACTGTACGTGCCCTATAGGAAACACAGTAGAGTGAAAGAATGCTGTTTTCTCAGCCGGGCGGTGGTGGCGCACGCCTTTAATCCCAGCACTTGGGAGGCAGAGGCAGGCGGATCTCTGTGAGTTCGAGGCCATCCTGGGCTACCAAGTGAGATAAATAATGCCGGGCGGCAGTGGTGGTGCACGCCTTTAATCCCAGCACTCGGGAGGCAGAGCCAGGCGGATCTCTGTGAGTTCGAGGTCTGCCTGGGCTACCAAGTGAGCTCCAGGAAAGGCGCAAAGCTACGCAGAGAAACCCTGTCTCGAAAAACCAAAAAAAAAAACAAAAAAAACAAAAAAACAAAAAACCATAAATAAGAGTTTGCTAATGGGAACTTGTGAGTATTCCCCTTGCTGTTTTTTTTTTTTGTTTTTTTTTTTTTTTACATTGCTCTTGACAAATTTCTTCACTTTCAGGAACAAGCATGTCTAAACCTGAAGGCAAAATTTGTACTGATACTATATTGTAAGTACTAGTTAATACGTTTCTTTAGGGTGTCCTAGGTATACATAGTGTCCTGAGTGTAACTACTTTGTTTTTGTTGACAAGTCCTGTTAAGCCCCAAAGTGAAGGTATAAAACTATGCATTTTCATAGATGTTATTTATTCACCTTGCTTGTGTGGGAAGAATGGGCACTCGGCATTAACTCTAACACTGTCCTGATTTTACTTTTCTGGATTTCTATGTTTTCCATGTCTGAAAACAACAGGTGAACTCTAAAATCAGTTCCAACTCACCAGATGATGCTCCAGCTTTTAAGTAAAGGTCAGATGTCAGCAAGGTGAGGTGGTGGTCATCCAGCTCCTCTGCACACTGAGGCCGGAGGACAATCTGAGGATTGCTTCCAGTGGGAGTATGCTACCCCCCCTCCAGCTCTGGGGATCCAAGCCAGGATTTGTGCACACTATGCAAGCGCTCTCCCACCATCACATTCCCAGCTTTCAAGCTTTATCTCAATCTGCGCTTTAAGGAAAAGTAATTTAAAGTGGGACTCACTTGCATTTCTGTTAAACAGCAGAAATAATTGGAATACCATGAAGTCACTGTTATCTGGAATTGGGAATGACTCATTTAGCTTTTCTTCTTTCCTTTTTGGTTTTTCGAGACAGGATTTCTCTGTGTAACCACCTGGCTGTCCTGGAACTCTCTCTATAGTCCAGACTGGCCTTGAACTCACAGAGATCCGCCTGCCTCTGCCTCCCGAGTGCTGGGATTAAAAGTGTGTGCCACCGCCATCCTGCTTAGCATTCTCTTTTAGTAGAAATTTCAAACCAATTTTCACATTTTAAAAAATGGAGACCTAATGACCAAATAATAGTTACTTGTTCAATACCATACAGGTTATTATCAAAAGCTGTTGAAAGAAAAATCAGTGGCAGAATATTTTCCATATTTTTATCTATTCTTATTTGTAAACCACACTTCCATACTCAGTATGATGAATAAGGTAATAAATGCTCAGTGCTTAGATGAAGGAATATTAAAAACAAAATTTGAGGCTATAATACAGATTCCTGACAGGCAGGGTACATTTTAATAATCTAAATAGGAGATTTATAAGCACTTAAAGTAAACAAAACCACTTAAGTTTCTTAATTCTGCTAACTTGTGAATTTTCACTCAATAACATAGTAACCCTGCTATCATTTTCTAAAATTATTTTAGGTATGTTTTATTGTGTATATAATACTGTGATTTTATAACATGGAAGTATACATTGAAATCTGTCAATAATATATTTTCTGGTACTGAATGCCAGTATCAAAAATTATATTAGAACTGGTTGTAGTGGTACACACCTGTGATCACAGCAGTTGGATGGCAGAAGCAGGCAGATTTCTGTGAGTTTGAGGCCAGCCTGGTCTACATAGCAAGTTTCAAGCCAGCCAAGGCTACATGGTAAGGCCCTGTCTCCTAAAAAAAAAAAAAATCCCCAAAAGTGTGGTGTGTGTGTGTGTGTGTGTGTGTGTTAGAAGTTTCAGGTATATTTATAGGTGTCAGCACACACATAAAGTTTACATTATTCCTTCCATACTTGTAGTAATTACTAAATAGCCTCTCTATGGTTATTTAGTACAGTGACTGGAAATTAAATATTAGCACAAGTTGCTGATCCGTTTCAAGGCACACAGCTTTATTTTGGCAATTAACCCCAATATTGGAAGTAGAGAGGGCTCTTTAAAATTAGTGCTTCTAGCATTTCTCATTGACTCACTCTTGTCACTCCCTTCTCGCGGTTAATTTTAACCTTGACCTCCCACAGCTGTACTGCTTTGCTCAGTCTAAGAAAGAAACTCCCTGATTCCACCCTTTTTTTTTTTTTTCATCTGATGAAGCAACAGTGGAGAGGAAAAACCAAACCCATTCCTTTAAGAAAGATTCCGCCTCCTCTCTTCTAAGCAAGCGCCTCACAGCAACGGTGGAGTCTCTAAGTCACACACTTTACTACTCAGCATTGGGAGAAGCAGCAGCCGCCGCCGCAGCCGCCGCCGCCGCTGCTCCGCGGCTGCAGTGGGTTCCCGTGCAGCACTGCAGAATCCACACCTAGCCAGGGAAGACAGACGTACGTCGGCTCCCCTGCACGCAAAGAAGCTTTGGATCGTCTGCAGGTAAGCACATCTCCTACCCGTTTTGTTCAGGAACCGTGGGAAAGGGAATGGTCGTGGAATGCACTCTTCATCAGCCATGCTTAAAACGTTATGGGAATCTGTCGTCCTTTGGAGGTGGGTTGGGGTCTACAGTTCTGTCTGGCACACGTCCTGTGTAGTGGAGACTATTATATGATATGTGCTCCTACAGTAATTTTTTTTGGCTATGCATAAAAAGACTAACCTTGATGCATGCAAAGCATTTTTTTTTCTTTTTAAAAGAAAACACAGCCACTCCCAATCTCTCTCTCAAACACTGCAGATATTTTTAAATGGCAAATAAAATGACGGACTGAGCGTTTCCTAAATATCATTTTCTTCTTAAGCCTTAGCAAGACTACCCCACGATTGTTGAGGAGTATTTAAAAATAATAAGGCATGGTCAGGATTTTTTTTTTTTTTTAAGAAAATGAGAGATAGTGACAGACTAAAATTTCTCTAGCTTTAGTCCAGTGGAGAGAGAAAAGGAGGATAAATGAATTGCAGTGTGTGCCAAGAATGCGATTCGTTTGCCACACTTCATTTGTGGGCAGAGGAAACTACATTTTAATTAGCACATTTTTAGAGAAAGAGGGGATGAAGATGAGGGGGCTGGCGTGAAGTATTTGAGGGGGAAGAGAGCCTGCAGATGAGGAAGGAAATGAAGTGGCCTGTCGCCAGTGCCTTGAAAAGGACGGGAGATAAGGGTGGAGAATGAAGTTTGCTGTGTGTGTTAGGGTGGGGTTAACCCTAGGGACCAGGAATCACTAGAATGGCGCGGGGAGGAGTGTGCTTGAGGGTGAATTCGTGCAGGGGAGGGCATGTGTGCTGGAGGGGTGTGCAAGTCGTGGGTGGCGGAGGAGAGCGTGTGCCTGGAGGTCTATTTCGAGAATAGGTTGGAGTGAGAAACGTGTCTGGGAGGCGGGGGTGGCAGCCCAGTGTCACCTGTGGAGGGATCCCCAGCTCTGCAAATGAGTGTTGCAAAGTTTGCCTGGCCTCAGACTAATTTTGAAGGCTGCTGGCGGAGCCTAGACTTTTCATCTCCCAAGAGGTCAGCTCTCAGAAGGTTTAAGAGGCAAGGGGCCAAAGTAGGAGTGCAGACTTTGGGCTGGTCCAGATGAATTAAGGGCCCTTGCCCTGCCCCTCAGAGGAAGTGAGTGGAGGCAGGAGGCTCCCCCAAACGCAAATGTGCTGAGAAGAAAATCGAGGCCCCTTCTGTGGGGCACGTGCCGAGGTCCAACCGTAGGGCCGCCCCGGCAAAGCCCAGCAGCCTCTGTGGGCCGCACAGGCTCAATCTGAAAGCTGAGGTTCAGCCTCATTGGGTGGGGGAAGCATGTTCCGACTGGGGGAGGCAGATGTTTCCTAGGCGGAACCCTCTCGCTTTCAATCGGGTTTCTGTCGGGGTCGTTTCCCTCTGCGGCAGCGGATCGGAGCAGCACGGAGGGAGGAAGACCTTGCAGAGGCGCCAGGCAGCCGCCCCGCAACAGGCCCTGGGCCTGCGGAGCACGTAGGCCCCCCACCGCACAGACACTGAGCTTGTAGCCCTGAGGGGGGCCTCGAGGGGCGGGGCCAGAGATCGCAAGGGGCGCCGGGGGCGTGGCCTGGGAGCGCAAGAGCTTGTTGTGGGCGTGGCCTACTGGAAGCGGCGCCTGGACGCTGGGGGGCCGACGGGGGGTGGGGGAGGGACAGAAGGGCGGAGCCAGGGGCACGCTCGTGAGCTACGAGGGCCGAGCCTGTACGGGGCGGAGCGAAGGGCGCTGGGGCGCGGCCTAACAAGAGGCGGGACCATGGTTCCCGGGCCCTGTGGGGCGGGGCCTCGAAGTGGCGTGCTCGGAGGGTCAAAACTGTAGGGGGCGGACCAAGGGCGCTGGGGCGTGGCCTATGGCAGGCGGGGCCAAGGCGCTCGGACCCTTGGGGCGGGGCCTTCGGGGCGCTAAGGGGCTATGAGGGCCCGGCCTGTAGGGGGCGGGGCCGTAGGCCCTGTGGAGGCGGGGCCCAGGGGGGCGGGGCCGAGGGCGTTCGGGGGTAGTTCGGCTAGTCCCGCCAGAGTGTGAGGCGCCTGCCGGTAACGGTCGCCCGGGTGAGGGGCGGGAGGGAGAGGAAAGGCTTTAAATGTTCTGTTTTGAAACAGCGAGACCCAGACGCGTCGGCGACCAGGTGTCGCCGCTTCCTGCTGCCGGGGGCTCGGCGTCTAGGTTCCCTCTCCACGCCCCCTCCCTTCCCGGCCCTCTCCTCGGGAGCTGAGCGACGCTTGGGAGGAGGCTGCGGCTGACCCGGCGGCCGCTGCAGCCCGGAGGTGGCGGAGGCGGGGGCACAAAGCCGGCTGCGCTGCGAGGTAATCCTGCGGGAGCTGGGGTCCGGAGGGGACTTCTTACTGGCTGGCCCGGCGCGGCCTCAGGTGAACCGTGCCCGGGGCGGGAAGGCGAGCCCCGCGCGGGCCGAGGGGCGCAGACCCGGGGACGAGGGGTCGGGGTGCAGCGGTGCGAGGCCGGGTCTCGGGGTCCGCAGGGTGGGCCGCGATTCTCCCGGGTGTCCCCCGCCACCCCCCGTGACGGCGTGGGGTTGTAGAATCCTGTTCTGCCCGAAGCCTTGCTGACCCCGAAGGTGCGCGCGAGGACGGTGGGAGGTTCCCGCGCTTGGAAAAGGTGAAGGAGACGGTGTTGATTTGTTTGGTTTTTAATCCTCCTGGTTTAATAAACTTCAGTCACAAGTTGAAGTTGTTCAACCACTTTAATCAGGGGAACCCTCCCCAGCACACATAGTAGGCGCACTCGCGGCGCGCGCACACACACACACACACACACACACACACACACACACACACGCTCGCACACACACGCTCGCACACACTCACGCTAAACCCTTTCAAGCATACATGTTACGTATTCTTCATTGTGGGGTGACAGCCGAGTTGGCAGCAGGTTTGGCTTCCTGATGTTTGGGGCACTTCCAAGCTCTTTGGAGGTATGTAATAGTTGAGGCCACGGCAGGTAGTCTAAACCAGGCCTCTATTAAAATGGTTAAGAATGGCCTCAGGTGAACTTTTTTGTTGCAGAGATTTAATTGCAAGTAGGTGCCGGTTTAAACTGGGAGTGTAAGGGAAACCACTACATATCCTTGGCACATGTGCTCGTAGATTGACTTTGCTAGAGTGCTGTGGGATTTAACTCAGCCAAGAGGCTTTGGGTGAGGATTAGGAGCAAGGCTCGGGAAGGAATCGATAAGACTCGGGCTTGGGACGAGCTACATAAACATGTGTGAGTTCTTTATGATGAATTATGAGAATCTTAGAGTGAGCAATGTGAAATGGTTGCCTCTTCTTAGAATAGACTCCCATCTACAGCGTGCTGAAAATGTACTCATTTGGGTCTTAGGAGAATTCTAGTGAGTACGAGTACAGTGTAATGTGTCTTTTTAAAATGAAGTTACTTGACCTGTGTTTTTAAGGTATAGGACTGACTCACTGATAGCATTGTTCCTTTTCGAGCACTTCTGGAAAGATTTTAATAGCTAAATCACCTTTGCGTTGTACTTATTTGCTCGGTAACTCATTTTTTTTCCCCTTAAATTGATCAGATTAACTTTACTGAGGAGTAATGTGTGTGGTGGGGGCACTTTTTTTTTTTTAAACAATTCTTTTACCTTTTTAAAGATAGAATTCAGTCTTTGCTAATTTGAAATTGGCCAGAAGTGTTGGCGTGTTGGTAATAGTTGCTTTAAAGGGAAAAAGCCCAGCAATTATCTATTTAGAATGTTAAACATAATTTAAGGAGTTCTTTAGATACTTGGTTATGAGACTTACATACAGTGCAGCTTTTTGCATGTGTCATATCAGGAAATGTTTGATAAAGTTTTGGCATATGACATAGAAGATCACATGACCCCTGAAAATATTTATTTTGCGTGATAGGAGGGTATTTTCAGAATGTAAAATTTAATCAGTGATTAAAGATGAATGAGAAATTATGTTGTACACTTTACTATTACTTTTTTTTTATCAATAATACTTTTCTGGAATGAATGTGAGTTTTAGTCAATGATGTACAATAGTTTTTATAACTTGTTTCACCATTGTGGTTGGTATATCAAACAGAGTAATTATTAATAAGGAGCTACTCAAGCTATGTTTAGAATTATTAAAGAGAACTAATATGCCCCTTGCTGATAACTTGATGTTAAAGGGAAATGCTAAAATAATACATTAAGTAAAGGAAGTGTAGACTGTCCAAAAGATGTGCACAAGTTGCTAGTCTGGTTTGCCATAATTAATAGTGCTATTTTACACTCCTTTGGAAAAATTAGCCATGTAGAACTTGAGTAGGAAAACTTAACATGTCTAATCAATAGTGCTTTCTTTCCTTTTAACTGTAAGCTTAAGTGAAATTATTCAAGTCCAATTTGACAGTTGCTGAACAATCACAGACTGAGTCATGTAACTGAGATTCAAAATGAATGCTTCAGTACTTTCTTCTTGTCTCTTACATTAGTGTGCTCTGGTCTGAACTTAGGGTCCATGCCAAGTATTTATAGTTGCAATTGCTAGGAGATCTTTGGGTTTTGTCATTGGTTTAGTTCCTTGGCTGAAAGCCAAGACAGTTTCAGATTTACTATAGTGGTTGCCTGTACTAAATCTCTGAAGTACACATGTGAGAATACTCATACTGACTATGATTTGGAAGGAGGAGGTTTGTTATTATATGCTAGATGCATATAGAATAGTTCTCGGTCATTTGCAGTTTTGCTTTCCAGGATTTCAGTGGTTTCTGGTCAAATACAGTTTAAAAATAATAAGTGGAGAATTTCAGAGATGAACAATTATAAGTTTTAAATAACTTTATAACAGTATACTATGTTTTATAATTATTGTTATTCCTGGTATGTCTAATTTATAAATAAAACATTATCTAAAAATAACAGAATATATATACCAGTAATTTCAGACTTTTACTGGGGTCTTGGAATGTATCCCTCTAAAATAAGTAAGATATGCTGTAATTATTTCATTTGGAGATGGTAAATTATAGGGGGTCTGTGTGTTTGTGTGTATGTGTCTACTTGGAATTCTGTTATTTTCAGGTAAAATTAATGAATTTGCCTGGTTTTCATTCAGTAAATGTTTACTGAGTACCAGCAATTAAAAAGTATTAAGCAAGAAAAAGAGATTTGCAGTTTATTTTGTTTTACTTGATGTGTCTTAATAATAATGTTGGTCTTTATAGCTAGACAAGTCTCAAAGTTCAAGATTTAATTAATTTTTCAGTTTAAAGCATATTTGAATGTTATAAAAATAACATTTAACTTACCCTAAAGCTTTGGTGTATGCATAGATAATGAGACTCAGAGTCTCAGTGAGAACCTCTTTCATCCTTCTAAGACATTACTTACTACACGTAGTGAAGAGCATGCTAGAAGCCTTAAAGAATGATTCTGGCTTTCAGAATTGTCTGAAGGTCCCAAATGATCGTGATCAACAAAAAGTATAAAATGGACAAAACCTAATCTTTTTTTTTTTTTTTTTTTTTTTTTTTTGGTTTTTCGAGACAGGGTTTCTCTGTGTAGCTTTGCGCCTTTCCTGGAACTCACTTGGTAGCCCAGGCTGGCCTCGAACTCACAGAGATCCGCCTGCCTCTGCCTCCCGAGTGCTGGGATTAAAGGCGTGCGCCACCACCGCCCGGCCAAAACCTAATCTTTTTGAGACACAGTCTAATGCAGCTCTGGCTGGCCTCAAAACTACTATGTAGCTGAGGATGACATTCTTGAATGCCTAATCTTCCTGCCTCTACCTCTGGAGTGCTGGGATTAGAAGTACATGCCACCACACACACTTCTATGGTGCTGGGGTTCATACCCAAGGGCTTGTGCCTACTGGCAAGCACCCCACCAGCTGAGTCACATCTCTAGCCCTAGTCTTTGATTTTAAAAAGACGGTATTTGAAAGTTTGCATCTTGAAAAGGTAGCATAGATTAATCTTAACTGCGCTAAAATAAACGTGAATAGGCTCAGCACAGAGCTTTATACAGAGGCTGGGTCTAAAGGGAACCTTTCAAAAGGTTTTGAACCTTTCAAACCTTTCACATCACTACCTTACACGTTTACACCTTTTTCAAAGTCAGCTTTAGTTAAAGCCTAGCTGGAAGTGTGAAGACTTACTGATATAAGATGAACTTTGAAATCTGGGTTTCAGATTCCCCGAAACTGGTGGTGAAGGTACTGGTATGTAGGAGGCACATTGGCCAACATTTAGGAATGTTACTTCCTCAAACAAGACTATAGCTTGGATATCAGGTTGTAAAGTTTATTTTTTGAGGGGCAATGGACTGTAGCTGGACAGAGAGAGCAGGTAGAGCAGGAAGGGATATAGGAAGTCACTTGCATTTGGAAGCTGTGGAGTTGGTGAGGTAAGATTAGCTCCTGTAAAATAATTTTAATGCTTACATTATGCATTAAAGGCAAATAGATATCAAAGCAAACATTGAATTACAAACAGAACTTAACTCTGAATAATATGCATGAGCTCGTTATTTTATTGTTTTAGCCACCCCCTTTAAATTTATTTTGTGATATTTTATTCCCCATCTCCAACCAAGAAATACTGCCCTTATATGAAAATGGAGAGGGCTGCACAGACTGTGAATAAGCTTATTCCACTCAACTCTCGGGGCTGTTGGCTAATTACCTGCTATTAAGCTGGAATTCCCAACAATATAGCAATCATTCAAGTTGGAGAAGTTTCCTCGATCTTAGGTATATGCCTTAATTTGTCAACATTATCCTCATCATCAGTGTTAGTGTAGAGTTTTTCCACAGTGGCTGTACTCATTCTGTGCAAGGGTAGTGTTTCTTTCTTTTCCATACAGTATTCTCAACTTTGTTCTCATGGGATGACTGAATAGCAGCTGAAAGATAAATTTACTCCATCTCTTGATGGAGGAGATAGTTAGGCTTACTTGGTATGTCTAAAGAAATATATTTAGGGTTACCTGCCCCATGGAACTTTGAAAAACACTATTTAATCCTTTAGAAATGAGATCAATAACTGTTAGCTTCATGACTCTTCTATTTTCACTTTCTAATTATTCATGGAAAAAGGATTCTATAGGGCCAGTGAAATAGCCAAGGAAGTGGTTGGGAAAAGGCAATAGTGGGCCCTTAAATGGAGCTGTGATTGGGCATTAGAGCTTGATGAGTGGGACTTCGTTGCTGCTCATGGGGCTGGGACAGATTGATGGTGGAAAGGGAAGAGGTTGGAAGAGAGTACAGCTCTCTCTCTCTCTCTCTCTCTCTCTCTCTCTCTCTCTCTCGTGTTTGTTTGTTTGTTTGTTTGTTTGTTTGTT